TTGGGGGGGGGGGGGGCTTAATATAGGACGCCTCTTTTCACTAAACCAAAACCGTTTAGTATGATGAAAACACATTAGAGTACCATTGAGGCCATCGCTGTGCAGATCATCTACTGAATTGAATATGAATATGTGTTCAAATCGATGAAAATGTAGATACAATGAAGTTTACTTTACACAAAAAACACACAAAGAAAATAAAATGCTTAGTATTCTGTTTTGTTGTGAATATGCGAAATATATCATCCACGTATTGAAGCCATAGTAATGGTTTATTGGTAGAAAATTTGTTTAACTTAGTTTCGAGTTCTGACATAAATAGGTCTGCAAGTATCGGTGCAAGTGGTGAACCCATTGCTACTCCATCAGATTGCACCTAATAATTACTCATAAATCTAAATGGTACATCACAAACGGCTAATTCTACCAGTCTTATCATTTGTTGTCAACTGAAGGGTATATCAGCTATTTTCTTTGGCTTATATAACATATCTAGTGCAATCTCAATAGATTCTTTTACTGGCACGTTGTTCCTACTGGCAAAATAATAAATTCATTCTCAAATTTACAAACACCACGCGTACATTTTTGGTGACCGTCTATCACTATTATTTTTGAACAATCTGGGCCGCATGGATTATTCAAGACATGTGAACTCGAACGATCGCAAAATGACTCTAATGCATTCGCTGTTGTGTTCCATAAAAATAAATCAACATCGGTATTTGAACATCTAAAAGCATTCAAATTATATAAACACCATATATTAGACCTGAAAGGTTCGATAAAAAAAACTAAATAGTAGAAGAGAAGCCTATTAGCAAACTTTATAGATTAATTCCTAATACTGAGAGCTTCAATTGGCTGATACGACATAGATATATATTTTTTAGTAACAGGTAGATATTTTGCTTTCATATTTTTATTAAAACAAACATAAAAGGTCGAAACATTTGGTTTTGTCAAATATTTTTAAATTTGTTTTAATAAAAATACGAAAGCAAAGTATATTTATAAAACATCCAAGTTAATTGAAAATGACGACGATCAAATCGCTTGATATCCTGTACATTATTCAGTTTTAATTTATAATTACACGCTTTCTCAAATGCATCGAAGCTGGTGTGTTCAAATAATAAATCTGCATCAAATCGATTGAACAATTCTCTCGTATATCCAACGGTTCCAAATAATAATATAACATTTTTGAATGAGTGCTTAACTGTATAATCCTGCATGTCATTTCTCAACAAATAGTTAGGGTAAAACTCATTTCTACAAATATTACAACACATTTTCATGAATGTATATCTTTTAGCCCCATTACTTGAATATATTGTAGCGTTTTTTCCAAAAACTGGTTTTGATAATGCTACGTTACAACAAACAGTTCTTGTTGGTAGTAAAACAGTTGTTCAATATTTTTTAATACCTGGTTGAGTTGTGAAATATTGTTCTGATAAACGTTGAATGTCAACATCGTTGTTAATAATATTATCTTCATATTTAGATAATATATAATGTCATTTTTGAAGAATATTTCCAATATCAAAATCTGATACGTCTAAACCTGTTATTAAACTAAATATTTCTTCAATATGTGTCTCTCTCGTTGGATCATAAACAGAAACTATATTGTCAAGTTGTTTTAACAGAACGATATGCTCTACTTTTTGAAACGGGAACACAATATTTGATATTGCGAACGCCATAAAAGTTTCAAGTTTTTTGGTGCTTTAGTGAATAATTTATATTTATTTCACGAAAAAAGTAATCACTCTATGTAAAGAAGATAAAATGTGAAAGAGCTAGAAATACATACTCTATGCCTTATGCACCATCTTTGGGCTTAACAGTACAGCAAAGAAAGAAAAAACGCGACGACAGAATTGTACAATTTATGCATTGTCAACTAAACTTGTAAAACAGAACAACAGAGACATTGTCTGATGGACTGTTCTGTAATACAATTTCTTCTTTTTATAGATCCCGCTACGTCAACGCCGACTATAGTCGGCTAGTTGGCTGTTATAGCAAGAAAAATTAAAAGATAGACGTCTTTTGTTTCTTCTATAACTGACATGCTTTTCAACATCGTAAATCCTTAAAACGAATTAAAGTAAACAGTATAAAAATCGTCTACGTTATCTATAAACCATGGCTTCTAAACAACCTCGAGCGTTATCAACTTGATAAAAAAAAGAGACAAAAATTCATGAATGAACTACCAATGAATGATATCCATTTCGAAGGATTTGAGATGATGGAAAGTGTGATGACACTTAGTTTTGTTGCTCATTTTTATACGAGACAATCCGTGTCCTTCTTTCATTTCTACTGCTTTGCCTGCTAATATTAAACAAACTGTTTCCAACAGTGATTTCTGCACATCTAAATTACTCCTTTTTATGAAAGTAAGTGATTAGGTTTAACATTAACGAATTTGCTAATTCATAAATCCTGAACTCTGATATCATAATGTTTAAATCACGAACTTATAAAGGTCTAATTCATATTTTTCTCTGTTATAGCTGTCGCGATTCTATCGACCGTGTCCAGTTTTAACACGAATGTTAAAACTCCATTGTACATTTTATGTTGATCAACGACATTTAAATGAAGCATGTGGTCTTCGTTTCAACGTAGTCAACCATCAATCAACGGCCTACATCACATCTCGACGTGACAGACATATATTACCCGCAACGTACTCAATAGGCCTTTATTGTGTGAGCCACGATATTTTTGAAACATAATGTATGTATGGTTTCTGTATACAATCCTGAGCTCTCTGCTTGAAGTAACTTAGCATTTAATGTATGTCTAAGTCGTTTTTGAATATGGAAATATTTTCAAATCAAATTTTAGTCTACATTTTGCACACCACCTCCGAGTAAAAGTCGTCTCTAGACTATCGTTTAACTTTGAGCAGTATTTACACGGTGAAAACCACCCACAAAGTCTTTAGACCGATTAGTCCTATTCTACTTGCGACAACTTCAGTCAATTCATTCAAATGCATAGAATAAGCCTGTAGTGTTCTTCAGCAGAAGTAGTAGAACCTTCTGTAGTTTTTTCTAAGCTCAACGTTGCGACACTAATCAGAACTTGGTGGAATGTAAAAATTTTAATTAGTATTACAACGTTTAGCTTGAGAGAGAACCAGAGAGAAGTCTTGAAAGACTAAGCCTAGAGACGACTTTTACTCGGAGGTGGTGTGTAAAATGTAGACTAAAATTTGATTTGAAAATATTTCCATATTCAAAAACGACTTAGACATATATTAAATGCTAAGTTACTTCAAGCAGAGACCTCAGGATTTCCTCATGCAATTCTATTTTGCTTTCGTTAGATTTGATATTGTACATTTGCAGTTGTGATCGAATAGGTGATATTTTCGTTTTATGTTTGATTTCTCTATTGTTTTATTCATAAAGTGAAACAATAACTTTTAGACAACTTTTACTGTGAGCAGAATGCTATAATTTCCTCATGCGATTCTATTTTATTTTCGTTAGTTTCTTAATCACATGTTAGTTTTCATCTGATCAAATGTGACAGATAATATTTTTATTTTGTATTTGATTTCTGTATTTTTTATTTATAAAAGACATTGTTTATTTTTATGTAAAATTAGTTATACTACAATGAACTTGATTCAAATAAAATACATGGGAATAACAATGATGGCGGTGAAAACAACAATCTAAGTATATTCACAGTAAGACTTCATAATGCTTTGAATGGGAAACAATAATAATCGACAATGTATGGATAGAAACTATTCTCTCATAGTTATAATGAATAATAGCAGTGACCATTGGTCATAAATGTTTAAAAGGAATTTTTCGATTCCTCATGGAATTTTTTGTTACAAGATTTACTGCGGAGTAACTGATTAAGTTACATGTTTACATCGAATATTACACTGCACCGAACAGTCGACTCACTTCCGAACATCCTACTAGTTTCACCAATTGTGTTCTAACAGCAGAAGGCCCATTTTTAAAACATCTAGGGACAGAATTTGTATGTCTTTGACTACATAACAATGGCAAGGTAGAATTGTTAGTTTTATCTTGAAACTTGTCCTTGAAAAGTGCCTTTTCTCCCTTTCCGAGTGTTGTGCAATTACAACTTATTTTTGTTTTTCTTCAATTTCTTTAGCTTGTGCAATTTCTACCCTTAAAAAAAGGCAAATTTTTTCTCTCGTCTACATTGCGCAAAGAATATGCACTTGATTATCTAATTTTCTTCTTCGTGATTTCACGCAACCGTGGCATATGCACAGTCAAAAAACAGTTTTTGGTGGAGCACTTTATTATAGTGTAACGAACATTTGTGTTTGACAATCAGCGCTCCACGAGTAAGTACTGTGCGGCGAATTGAGTTTTTAAGCCGGCGTTAAGTACGCCGTCAGTTTCGAAAAGAGAAAAGTTGAAGCGCACTAACAAACATGAAAAAAGATTACGTAATCCGCCAGAGAGCTCGCTCATTTTGTGAAAAATTTTCATATCCAAAAAGAAAAAGCAAGTTCATAGTTTATTTTTACGGTTTTTTATCGATAAGAACACATTCTTACCATGGGATGTTCGTAGATGCACTTTTTGTGTTTGATCAAGATCGAACATATAGAGTGCGTCTACAAATACCGCAGAACGTATCTAGTTAAGCCCGCTGGTGGCTACAAACATCCTTTAACCTCTTCTCATTACACATTTTGACGTCCACAAACACACCCCTTTGGCTTCTACAGACATCCTTCTAAATGTGCTTTGAGAAGGAGCTTTGTTCCAAAAAAAATCGCAAAGTGTACTTTTATTCACCAGCTTTCTTGAAACAGTACTGAAGGTTTTCATCTTTTTTTCTCCGTTGGAGCAACGCCAACAAGCTTTATAAAGAGTTGTACTCTTTGCAACGTGCGTTTTTTTACACATCAGTTGAAGACTGAACCGAAAAAAGATTCCTCTGTGTTGATTCCTGTGCGATATCGACTTATCGTGTCGTTCAGTCCTCTGTGTGCAATGAGGACATTTGTGGTTGTTTTGTCCTAAAACATAAAATGAATGGTATACTGAAGCTGTATTTAATACAGGAATGTGGTTCAATGTGTAATTTCATTATCTATAATACTATTCAATCCCATCGCTTGCCACATCATTTTCATATCAATCGACATATGCAGATCCAGTTCAAGTTTTAGATTTTTTAAACATAATAATATTTTCTCCATCATGTTAACAAATTCGTCTGGTATAACAAGGTCAATTTCACAACGCTTTCTTTGTTAAGTTTGAATGGTCCTAGTGGTGTAACATTCAGTGCTCATTGTTTGTTAGAACCAGATTCAGTGCAAGTGATAGTTGATATTAGAATATTTGTGGTTGGTCCTATCATGAGCACTTCTTTTTTGGAGTGCTTCGGAGCACTCTTTTCTATAAAGTGCAGCTGAGGCACTGCGGAGCACCTGAAAAAAAGGAGCACTCACCGGTACTTATTTCTTGTGGGTACTCCATGGTAGGTTTCGGAGTACCCCTTTTGAGAATAGTAACGTTCATCACTAGCGTTTGAATACTTTCGAGTACCAGAAACTTCGATCAAAGAACAGAAACGTCTCTCATGTTACAGATATAAGATTATTCCCATCATTAGATATACCAGTGTGTTACTTTAGATCCATGTGTTCTAAAGGCAAAGTACTTAAGCCTATATTAAGGAACTATGCCCATATCTAAGGAGAGCTATGCATATATGTGTGGTTAGAAGACTCAAATTGTGTACGTGACACAAACTCAAAACAAGCTGGCATATAACATCCTTCAAAGCCCATAGCGTCTGCCTGAGATCTTTGAAAGTAACATGGATCAGATATAGACATATAAATCACTCAATGTAGTTTTTCGCGTTGATTCCGAATATGTATAGACTGTTTGGATAAAAGCCTTTTTTTAATGAGAAAAGAAGCGTTTTATCTGAAAAACCAAGAGTTTTTTGAAAATCTAGCTATAGAGCTAGATACATTTCTGCGTTTAACCGCTTGTACCACAGATGCAGGAACATGAGACGAGTATTTTACCGTCTTTTTGAACTCGGTTAATGCTTGGGTAGCTTTG